GGTGATTTGCAAACAGGAAGCAATGAAACAGTGCTCTCCCAGAGGAAGTGTCCCAAATGACACTTACTGTATGTGTAAGTCATCAGAACCAAGGGAACTCATGCAAATCAACTTCCAGTGTGACCGTGTTGGGACTCACTTCCCACTATACTGATGTGGGTCCTCTCGGCTTAGATTTTAAAATAAAGTCAGGCCTGAATATAAATTCAGAATTGCACCTTATGTCCTAACTGAGAGCAGAACAATTATCAGCCTCACAGTAATGTCAGAACCTTAGACAACTGCAGTTAAAAGCTAAGAAAAATATTTTTGACTATTAGTGATATTATTAAGTGCCTATGAAGCTTACATTGTATTTAGCTAGCCTGTCTTAAAATTTATAGCAACTTGCAAGATTTTCCAATAGTGATCCTATAACTCATACTTAGCAGTATTTCTTCTATGATTTTCCAAATTGTTTTTAAATACAGTGGAAGGAAAACAAGCCGAAAAGGGATGGGGCGGCCAGTGCTTACACAGTGCGTTGGAATAACTGAACAAGCTAGCTCTGCTTCCTTGATGAACTAACGTTTTAGACTTTTCCGATAAATCATGGTTCTTTTCTCCTGAAGTAACACGATTGAAGTCTTCAGGGAGAGATTTATGCCAGAGACATTCTAGAATATTTTTATTTGGATACACTTGACCTCTATTTGATTGCAGAGCTGTACCTAAGGGACTAATTGCTAAAGAAAGAGAAAGCTGTCCAGCTGCTGTCTGACAGCAACATGAGCATTGTCCTGCAGAAACTTTAGAAAAACGTTAGATGAAGTAACGTTAGTTCCCCTCCCCCTGTTTTCAGCTTGAGAAGGTGAGTGCAGCTGGGGTATGTTTATAAAGTCACACCAGGGGCATAGCAAGCTGCATTCTTCACCAATCCATATGAGGCACAGTAAGGTACATCTGATGGATTGTGAGAGGTCCTGTATCCCATGTTGCAGGCCCACAGCATGGATGTTAACATGGTCAAAACACCAGGGACAAGAAAGACGTTGTTTGGCGAAAAAGGAGCGACTGTATGATTCTGTCTTTCCATCCTTACAACTAATTCCCCAACATTTGGCCAGTATTTCTACTAAAATCCCATGATTTATATTGCAGAAGATATTCTCATTTTAAGAGGTTGAGCTGCCCCGAAAATTGTCTTTAAGGGACCAAGCTGAAGTTCTCAAATGAAATTCTATGTCATTGTTTCTGCGCTTTAACTTTCCTCCTTCCCTTGTAGTCCCTGGGACTCCTCTGTGGCCTAACTCAATCCTCAGTCTTGCCATTGTCCCTCCTTGTGTCTGAAGGAAGCAAAGGTTCTTATTCAGTAAGGAAAGCAGTAAAGAGCCACAGGAGCATCCCTTGAGTGGCATTCAGGGACTGGTGCTAAAATGTAAACTTTACCTGATTTCTAGAAAGTCAAGACGGTGCTGGGGAAAGCGGTGGAAATAGACCACAGCCTGGCTGTACAGGGAGAGGTGTACTTTGGCTGAGCTAAGAGAAGAGATGGGGCACAGGTATCCTGGGATAAAGTAAGGCAAATCTATCCTGTGCACTTTATCTAATTAGTAAAATAAGTGATCCTGATGAAGATGGCATCTTGGAGACAGTCCAAGAATACCATCACTGCTGCGTCACTGTCCACAGGAGAAATAGTCAGCTGAAGCTCAGAAGATCCCAGAATGAAACAACCTAGATTTGTTCATTACCCTAAGGGCAAATTAATACTTTGTACATTGCCCAGCTGGGCTTGCTAAGCAAATGGCACCCAGGGGCTACAGGCTTCTCATTCACTGGCTATGGCAGACGAGTTCTCTTTATGAAGTGATTTAGTTCACTACAGAGATGTTTTTAGTGGATGCCCTTGTACAAAATATTTGGTCTTACTGTATTCGGCTTCCCCCATCTCCATTCAAATGTTGCTGTGCAATAGTCAGCGTGACAGCCATGATCCTAGTCCTTTCAGAAACTACATGCAAAGAGAGAAGAAGCATGAGCAGAATGTAGTCATGGTCATGGTCAGGAGCACCATGAAGAAAAGGAGATACAAAGGAAAGATCAAATTCTCCTAGTTTTGGATGCAGTAGGTAGCCAGGTGAAAATGAGTGAGGACTCCTACAGCTGCTGCAAATACCAGCAGGAAGGTGGAGGCAAAAAATGGAAGCATTTAGAGACCAACCCATCCTAACTGTGGCTGGCACTCAGAGAACAAAGAGACCTTTGGGAAATGAAGGTTGAGAATGGCCTCAGAAAGCTCAACAGTCTTTGTGGAAATATTTAGAATTTAGCCAGCCTGCTGGTCCATCATCAGTGAACAAGTACGGTATTCTCTAGCAATGGGAACTTGTATTTAACCAAAGGAAACAGGTCTGCCAGCTTGAATGTTTAGTCAAGCGTGGAGAACCTGTATTCTGTATTGTCTGCCAAATACATTCTGAGTGTATGAACCAGCATGATGAGCAGGAAAATTGAGTCTAGAATCGATTTCACACATCCTAATCCATGGGCAGACACAAAAGATAGGGGGGTCAACCAAAACTTCATTTGTGACCTCAGGACATTTGTATTGATAAAAACTGTCAAAAATTAGGAGATAAGTTATTAATACCTGTAAAATGGAAATTTTTTATAAAGAGGCTAGAGACTTTAATTGGCCAAGAAGCATCAAAAATTATTCATTTACCACTTGTGTTGGATCCAGGAACATAAATTATTGGCCAGAAAGCAATTCTAAATACAGTGTGTGCCCTAGAAGAGCAGAAGAGTGTCTGCCAGTAGCTGGGATTGCTGAGTGCCCATGGGGAGGAGACTGGGGGGGGAGGAAACAAGAAGAGGAGAGAACACAGAGTTAGTTACTATGTTTGGGAAACTTTCTGTTAGCAGTGGGGACCCCAGAGAGTGGCAATTTGATAGATAGAAAACCTTGATTAATACTGACCAGCTGATCCTAAGCAACAGTAGGATTTGGTATTTTCACCTTAGTTAATGTGTGCTGATGACTCTGTAAAGATACTTAGATACAGTCTCTTGTTCTCCAAACAGCCTTACAGAGTATGACAAGAACCACAATAGAGACACCAATGGCTCAGAGAGTTTAAAGAAGCTTTTTTTCAAGGTGGCACTCAAAATACCTGGACTGTGTCTGAGCAGTTATATAGCCATGCAGTTAGAGCAAAGGAAGATGGTTCACTGCCTATGACAGCCTGCACCATTCTGTCTAGGTGCTTAGTTGCACTTAGACAGGCAGTGGTAAGGGTTAGAGTGGGAAGCCCTACGGTACAGCCATGGAGATGAAGTCAGAGGTGCTAATGTTCTGTCTTACTTTTTTCAAGTAAGTCTGTTAGAAAAATAGGAACATAAAACTGACATTCAGATGAGTACAGTTCACTGTAATCACATTGTAAAACATTGTACCTATAACTCTAATGTTGATCATTTATTGATAGTTTTGATATGATAAAGGATGCAAACTTGAAGTATTGTTATCTTTGGGGATCAGTGGGACACAGGTAGTGGGATCTATTAGAGAGAAATTGATGAGAGCTAAAGGTGATGAATTAACATGACAGAAAGCAAAGTATAAATGTTTCTCCTGAAGATTTCTGTTTCGGTATAAAATGTTCTGAATTTCAATGTAGAGGAAGCTGTCACTTCTGTTGAGCAAGATTTGGATATACTCATTGAAACAAACTAACATTCCTAATAGTTCCTTTTTCACTTTTTATCTTTTTGCAAAAATTGCTCAGCATAACCAGACCTTTTAAATGCTTATATCCCAATGGTGTAAAGTCGCTGAAATGAGTAGCTACAGTGTACCATGATGTTTGCCTGTCTGAAATGCTGCAGGAAGACCTGCTGGGACAGACCTGGGTTTGCATCCAATGAGATGTGTGATGCCTGAATTGTAGCAATTAGGAATGGCAAGAAGTCATTAACTCTGCCCTTTGTCCTATACATTCTTTGGAGTAACAAACAGGAAATACATTATAACATAAAC